CATGAAGCTGGTTGAGAGAATACCAAGAGCGTGCAAAGCTGTCATCAAGGCAAAGGATGGCTATTTTGAAGAATCTAAAATATATTTTGATTTGTTTAACACTTTTTTGGTTACTACATGATTCCATAGGTGTTATTTAAAAGTGTTGATGTCTTCACTATTATTCTACAATGTAGAATAATAAAGAAAAACTCATGAATAAATAGGTGTGTCCAAACTTTTGACTGGTACTGTATACACTGCCGTTCAAAAGTTTCGGGTCACTTAGAAATGTCCTTGTTTTCGAAAGAAAAGCAATTTTTTTGTCCATTAAAACAACATCAAATTGATCAGAACTACAGTGTAGACATTGTTAATGTTGTAAATGGCATTTTTGAGCCTGTAATCGAACCCACAATTGCTGATGCTCCAGATACTCAACTAGTCTCAAGAAGGCCAGTTTTATTGCTTCTTTAATCAGCACAACAGTTTTCAGCTGTGCTAACATCATTGCAAAAGGGTTTTCTAATGATCAATTGCTTTTCTTTCGAAAACAAGGACATTTCTAAGTGACCCCAAACTTTTGAACGGTAGTGTATGTATAGTGTAATTGTTGTTTATTGACGTGTTCATGAAGGGCTCATCTGCGAAAGAGACCGTTGTCTCAGCATAACGCCTTGCTTAGATAAAGGTTGAATAAAAAACATTTTTGGCACAATATTCCTCGTGTCAGGTTCTAGCCCTGAAAAACCAGCTTATGGCTGACAAATCAGGTCTGACTTAATGAGATTTGGGTTTCTGTGGGTATCGGGGCAAGGATTAGTCAGCTGATATAGGATGTTTCTTCGGCTTCATATCCCAGATATATTTTGAGTACTCCCGAGTGGCGCAGTGGTCTAAGGCAGTGCATCGCAGTGCTAGCTGTGCCACTAGAGATCCTGGTTCGAATCCAGGCTCTGTGACCGGGAGACTCATGGGGCGGCACACAATTGGCCCAGGGTAGGGGAGTTAATGGCCGGCAGGGATGTAGCTCAGTTTGCAACGCTAGGGTTGTGGGTTTGATTCCCACGGTGGGCCAGTATGAATAAAATAAAATAATGTATGCACTCACTAACTGTAAGTCACACTGGATAAGAGCGTCTGCTAAATGACTAAAAATGTAAAATATATTATTATGAATAATAGTAATATTACTTAATATTAAAGTTCTTATACTGCTAAAGAGGAAGAGAAAGGGAGGCTATCCAATCAATACCAGTATGCAGCGGTTTCCGGGTAAGCCAGAACAATAGTGTGCTTGTTGAGTCCCTTTTTATTTCACACAGGAAAATGCTGCTTAAGTCCAGTGAGGGAAAACAGTATTTGATCCCCTGCTGATTTTGTATGTTTGCCCACTGACAAAGAAATGATCAGTCTATAATTTTAATGGTAGGTTTATTTGAACAGTGAGAGAGAATAACAACAACAAAATCCAGAAAAACGCATGTAAAAAAAAGTATAAATTGATTTGCATTTTAATGAGGGAAATAAGTATTTGACCCCCTCTCAATCAGAAAGATTTCTGGCTCCCAGGTGTCTTTAATACAGGTAACGAGCTGAGATTAGGAGCACACTCTTAAAGGGAGTGCTCCTAATCTCAGCTTGTTACCTGTATAAAAGACACCTGTCCACAGAAGCAATCAATCAATCAGATTCCAAACTCTCCACCATGGCCAAGACCAAAGAGCTCTCCAAGGATGACAGGGACAAGATTGTAGACCTACACAAGGCTGAAATGGGCTACAAGACCATCGCCAAGCAGCTTGGTGAGAAGGTGACAACATTTGGTGCGATTATTCGCAAATGGAAGAAACACAAAAGAACTGTCAATCTCCCTCGGCCTGGGGCTCCATGCAAGATCTCACCTCGTGGAGTTGCAATGATAATGAGAACGGTGAGGAATCAGCCCAGAACTACACAGGAGGATCTTGTCAATGATCTCAAGTCAGCTGGGACCATAGTCACCAAGAAAACAATTGGTAACACACTACGCCGTGAAGGACTGAAATCCTGCAGCGCCCGCAAGGTCCCCCTGCTCAAGAAAGCACATATACAGGGCCGTCTGAAGTTTGCCAATGAACATCTGAATTATTCAGAGGAGAACTGGGTGAATGTGTTATGGTCAGATGAGACCAAAATCGAGCTCTTTGGCATCAAGTCAACTCGGCGTGTTTGGAGGAGTAGGAATGCTGCCTATGACCCCAAGAACACCATCCCCACCGTCAAACATGGAGGTGGAAACATTATGCTTTGGGGGTGTTTTTCTGCTAAGGGGACAGGACAACTTCACCGCATCAAAGGGACGATGGACAGGGCCATGTACCGTCAAATCTTGGGTGAGAACCTCCTTCCCTCAGCCAGGGCATTGAAAATGGGTCGTGGATGGGTATTCCAGCATGACAACGACCCAAAACATACGGCCAAGGCAACAAAGGAGTGGCTCAAGAAGAAGCACATTAAGGTCCTGGAGTGGCCTAGCCAGTCTCCAGACCTTAATCCCATAGAAAATCTGTAGAGGGAGCTGAAGGTTCGAGTTACCAAACGCCAGCCTCGAAACCTTAATGACTTGGAGAAGTTCTGCAAAGAGGAGTGGAACAAAATCCCTCCTGAGATGTGTGCAAACCTGGTGGCCAACTACAAGAAACGTCTGACCTCTGTGATTGCCAACAAGGGTTTTGCCACCAAGTACTAAGTAATGTTTTGCAGAGGGGTCAAATACTTATTTCCCTCATTAAAATGCAAATCAATTTATAACATTTTTGACATGCGTTTTTCTGGATTTTTGTTGTTGTTATTCTGTCTCTCACTGTTCAAATAAACCTACCATTAAAATTATAGACTGATCATGTCTTTGTCAGTGGGAAAACGTACAAAATCAGCAGGGGATCAAATACTTTTTTCCCCTCACTCATCAAAACACACTTTCTTTCAGCACCTGGTAAATGTTTAGACGTACCCCGGGAATTTCCCATACAAAGAAAGGTCTTATAACAGCTTTGATTGTGTCAGTATTTCAAGCATGTCGCCACATGGGATTGATTACATGGCCAAATATTTGCACACAGAGGACTGCAGTCTGAGTACCAACAACTATCCAAGCACAACACCTTACATACTACAGCCATAGCATCTACAGTGCATTCGGAAAGTATTCAGACCCCTTGACTTTTTCCACATTTTGTTAAGTTACAGCCTTATTCTAAAATTGATTAAATTGTTGTTTTTTCCCCCTCATCAATCTACACACAATACCCCATAATGACAAAGCAAAAACAGGTTTTTAGAAATGTTAGCTGATTTATCAAATAAAAAATACAGAAATACCTTATTTACATAAGTATTCAGACCCATAGCATCTATGTCCACGTTGGTATCTCGGAACCCTCAGTAAATGTAACTGTGTCATGTAAGCTGATGTAACCTTGTGCATGGCCAAAATGTTTCATGTGATTTCCCCCACTTCTCTCTATAGCTTTATGGTGTGGTACACTGATACTGTACCATAAAAGGCATTGTCTCACTGTCCTCAAGCCTGACTGGGTTGCAACTGTTTAATACTGAAGGGGGTGCTTGTATCCCACTAGTGGGCTTGCTTACAGTATATATAATAATAATAATAATATGCCATATGAAGCGTGATAGGCTCGGGATAAGGCTGTCTGTATCGCATCATCACGGCAGCTCCGAGTAATGAGTGTGCGTACTGCGCACCGACTCTCCCTTTAATTGCGCTGACAAATGCCAAGTCCCATGTCCTGCGAGTGGCCCTAGAGCCATTCGGCTGGTTTCACTCTAAAGCACCGTCCTCATTTCTAATAGAGGTTTTTGATACATTGCCATTGTCATGGAAGAGCGATGAAGGTTACCTACAGTACCATCACTTTTCTATGCATTTCTGGGGGGGGTTTAGCTACCTATTGTGTGCAAAGGTGAAGGTGCCTTTTGACAATTCTGAGATGAATTGCATACCTGCTTTTTATGAGTATAACTCCTTCAATAATACCACCAAATTAGAAAGTTAATTGCTTCTATTAAATTGAAATAATTGAAAGGAGGATTGTACTTTTGCTTACCTGCGCGCAAACTGGAAGTTGGCGGAGGCACTAGCGGAGACATTTCGGGGGCTTTCTTGGGGACTACTTCCAGCTGAAACACAACAATCAGACTGTCAGTGTTTTATCACTGGGACATGTTTTTAATAATGAAGAAATAGGTTGTTATAACTGCAGTATGCTGTCATTCTTGGGAGCTGATGACGCACAAGTAAAGGACAAGCGGCCCTAAATACAAAGCAATCAGTCTCTGGTGGAACTGAATTCAATCAACTCAACGCGTATTTACGAGCATGTGGTCTGGAGAGGACAGGGTTTTGTGATAGGCCTAATGCACGCTCCCTTGATAACTCTCAACTCCGTCCGTAGCATTAAACTTTTATAAAACTGTCTAGACAACCTGATTTGTTATGATGAAAATAAGCATGTCTGTCTGCTTTTTACTATGGCTGAGGATAACAATTATCACATTTCCTAAGTCCTCCACTGGGCTCACAATCAATAACCATGAATGAAACCTTTATTTAATTCATGTGAAGTGTATTTCATCAGTTATTCCCCTAAAGTGATACAAAACCCTCTGGTTTCGGCAGTAGGGAGCTAAAGCAATATGTAAATAAGCTTCTTCGGAAACTTGAGCTTCAAAAGAGAAGCAAAAGAGTAATTTGAGCTTTGTCAGCTCAGCTGCTTCATTTTCATTTGTCTGAGAAAACTCTGAACATACTGTATAGCATCATGTGGTTAGCTGGTATACTGCACTGGAAAGGTCAGATTGGTCTGCTGTCTCTTTAATGCCACATGCTGATTGGTCTGCTATACGTTTATCACATACTGATTGGTCTGCTATGTTTTTACAACATACTGATTGGTCTGCTCTCTCTTTATCGCATGCTGAGTGCAGTGCAGAGACAGCTGAAAACAACACCTACCTGTGGCGAGGGGGAGAGGTGAGAGAGGTCGTGAGAGTGTGGGCGATGGGGTCCCGACTGCCAGACTCCTTCTCTTGTTGTTACGGCAACTGTGTGGAAAAGGGAGAGAATTGTTTTGTGTGACACATTAGAGTAGTGGAATGTAAACCGAGTCGTGATATTGGGGCTTGGTTGTAACATGCAGGTGTTATGATTATTTGGCCTGAATGATACAGTATGTACATTTCACCACGTTTGTGGAATTCATTTCTAATTTAAATGTTGTCTTGGAAAACAATTTGGAGCTCTTGTTTTTGGCTTGTAGCCCTACCTCACATCGTAGGCAGTAGAATTACCATCTAATTTGGTTCAATTGGACAACTTTTGTTTAACACAAATTAGTCAGCTCAGCAGTCCATTAGTTAAGAACGCTGTCTCTGTTCTTGGAAGGCTATGGCGCCTGCAGGTGTGTCCCCACCAGGCTCCATGTCTCCATGGCCCGGGGTAGATTTACAGAATGGAAGGAACTCATTTTCAGTTTGTTTGTTTCGTAGATGACTGATCCCCAGCCCCATTGTTGACGTTGCGCTGCCACAGGGCCACTGTAATACCAATGCCATTTCGTTGGCAGTGACCTAAAGTAATTGAGGAGCTCAGACGACAACTAAGCCTGACATTTCTGGGTCGGCATGGAGATCAGATTCATGCCCCTCAAACCAAAGCCATGAACTGGGAGAGATGTTTGTTTAATAGAAGAACTAAACTGAAAACACAAAAGATCCCCTTGTAATAAAATGAATGTAATTAATATATACATTTATCCAACTTTGATCTGTCCAGGTCAATTGTTTGAGAACCAATTTTCATTTGCAAAAACAACCTTCCAAGATTAAATCAAAATCATAACCACAATGCTCTGAGGCAATATAAATAATGTATATCTCGGTCTCAGTTAAACAACAAGCTGTATTGCTTGTAGGGACTTTGCAGGGACTTGCACAGTACCATGCATCAGGAAGCTAAGTACAAATAGTAGACCGACAGATGTGTCATGAACCAACAGAGATTGTGGTGAATGCTTGGCGGTTGACACTGCTGGTGTTAGCTGTCAGACGCACCATGAGATTTGTCCACATCCACCGGCAGGATTTAAAAAAAACTGTAGTAGGCTATGGACAAACTTGTACGACACATACACTGACTGGACAAAACATTAGGAACTCCTGCTCTTTCCAAGACATAGACCAGTGTTTCCCAAACTCGGTCCTCGGGACCCCAAGGGGTGCACGTTTTGGTTTTTGCGCTAGCACTACACAGCTGATTCAAATAATAAACTAATCATCAAGCTTTAATTATTTGAATCATCTGTGTAATGCTAGGGCTAGACGTTGGGGTCCCGAGGACAGAGTTTGGGAAACACTGACATAGAGTGACCAGGTGAATGCTACGATTCCTTATTGATGTCACCTGTTAAATCCACTTCAATCAGTGTAGATGAAGGAGAGGAGACAGGTTAAAGAAGGATTTTTAAGCCTTGAGACAATTGAGACATGGATTGTGTGTGTGTGTGCCATTCAGAGGATGAATGTGCAAAACAAAAGATTTAAGTGCCTTTGTACAGTGTATAATAGTAGGTGCCAGGCGCACGGGTTTGAGTGTGTCAAGAACTGCAACATGTGTATAAAGATTGGTCCACCACCTAAAGGACATCCAGCCAACTTTACACAACTGTGGGAGGCATTGGAGTTAACATTGGCCAGCATCCCTGTGGAACGCTTTCCGATTTAGAGACCCAAGAAATATTAAATGTTTACCCTGACTTTTCTATAAAGTTAATATCACTAAATATTAATATGAATAAATTATACAGTTTTACTTATATATCTTTGCTAGATTATATCCTATACTGTAACGAACATGTTGTGAGCCTTCTGCATGAAGAACACGGAGTCCCTCCCTATACAGCTGCGGGTTCTGTAAGTCAAAACATCATAGGCAACAATAACCCCATAGCCTACAATGGCCACGTTTCTCTATCGGAAACAAAACTAGGGCGGATGTAATCCGACACGTTGTTGTAGAGTAGAGAAATCACAACACGAAACCAGACTGAACATCAACGTGAAAACAAGGTCCAATTTGTGCTATTGTTGTTAATGAAAATGTACGCTGTAACTGAAGGAAATCTTAAACATAGCCTTATGGTTATTAAATATGCGACGTCATTTTCCTGAATAGTTGTCCCTGTAGTCTTGTGCTAAAGCTTTGACTCAGACAACCAAAATGCCTAATTCAATAGGCTGCACGGTCCCATCCATAAAAACTTGCATGATCACTGATTAAAATAGTTCAACAAGTCGGTTGATAGAAGAAAATCAGATTACCTTTTTGATCTTTTCATCATGGCCCCAGTCACAAAACTTGTTTTGTAGCTGGGCAAAACAGTCCAGTAGTAATTCTGATCAGACATTATGAATTACAGCGATGCAAAGGGATACTTTGAATCGAGTTTGGTAAATGTCCACTATCACTTGAATAACATAATTGTTATTTCCTCGAAATGTTGCGGAGAGCACTCAGTGTCCGAAACCAGAAACTCTTGGTACTGTCTGACTCCATGCCCGTGGCAGTTCAGGCAAGTAGGCGCTAAGCAACCGTAGCAACCGCCATCATCTCTTTATTTGTTCCCTGTGAATTTTCGGAAATGCATCCTTCGCGCACTACACTCTGGAATCTTTCTCAATCACCAAAACATGTTCACTCATACAAAGTTTCCAGCAACAGCTAACACCGCGCAGATACATGTGTCAGTCCATCAATTGGAGGAGGGATTGCCGCCAAGGGGAGGAAGTTGTCATTTAGGCTGGGGGATGTAGCCTAATGGCGCGCTTATGTAAAATAATGATAATGCTTTTCACATCGATTTTACTGTCACTGTATGATGTTTGCATGACTATTTAAAAAGCCTCTGGCAAATGGATAAAATATTAACTAGTGCAACTATTATGCTGCTTTTCAACTGTAACACCAGTGTTACACTAGTGTATAATACACCCTTATGTTATATGGAAATTCTGTTTCCATAGCTAGGGCTGACATGCCCCAGTATCTGTGCGTTAGAGATGTCGACGATGAGTAGGACTATGACGTTTCTCCTCTCCAACGCCCAGGAAGCTCCGATTTAAACTCCCATTAGACAGCTCTGCAAGCTTGTCTGTCTGCTTTTTACTATGGCTGAGGATAACAAATATCACATTTCCTAAGTCCTCCACTGGGCTCACAATCAATAACCATGAATAAAACCTTTATTTATTTCATGTGAAGTGTATTTCATAAGTTATTCCCCTAAAGTGATACAAAACCCTCTGGTTTCGGCAGTAGGGAGCTAAAGCAATATGTAAATAAGCTTCTTCGGAAACTTGAGCTTCAAAAGAGAAGCCAAAGAGTCATTTGAGCTTTGTCAGCTCAACTGCTTCATTTTAATTTGTCTGACAAAACTCTGAACACGGGGTAAGACGCCCCATGTAGGTGGATGATGGCCATGCTTAGGGTAACAAACTATAAAAGGAAAATAAATGGCTACAGTTAACAGATTTGTAGTTATTTAATAAAATGTATTTTGTAGGAAAGGGGGATTTTGCCCAGCTACCGGGGTAAGATGCCCCCCCTCCCTGGGGTAAGTTTTTACCCCAACAGTAGATTGTGCCATGGGGTTTCACAGAATGGTCCCTATTTTTTTATCTCACCTGCAAATCAATTGTCTTTCTTCTTTTACCTTTTTCTTACACTCCATTATGTACAGTTAAACTAAACTCACTATCATTTGAATAAGGCAAGATTTTTAAATCCCAGCAGTCTTTAAAATGAAATTCAAGAACAAACGGTAATCAATAGGGGTGTAACGATCCATCTACTACATCGATGTATCGATTTATATTCCTATGATCCAACTACATCGATCTGTGCTCGGCGAGTTGGCCTTTTGGACAACATATATCAATCTAACATCGTTTTAAAATGTAATAAATCGATTGTATCGATACTAGGAAATAACCCATTGGATTTAAGCACGTCAGACTTTATATGGATGTTTTTTCTTAGCACTTTTAATGATAAAGGCTTTAAACATTACTCGATTCAGTCTGCCTATCCGTGATGTCATCGCCCCGCGCCAGCAGCAGCGCAAAGGCGCAAAGACAACAAAACATAGCATGGCGGACGACAGAGGAGAAGCCGACGAGCGAGAAATTATCAAGCCACCATTGCGGTCCTTACAAGAAACAGGAATCTAGGAAACTTCACATGCACTGTCCAGTATCCAGGTATTTACTTCAGTCACACTGGTTGAATTTTTGGCTAAAAGGTTACTGAATCGATTTCAAGTCACTGAATCGTTTCGGATCGTATCGTTCTAAATGAACCAATATCGTCCTTGAATCGTATCGACAACCACGAATCGTGATACAAATCGAATCGTTGTTAAAACGAATCGTTACACCCCTAGTAATCAATAGTTTGTAATATTTCCTTATTTTAAAAATGACAAATTCATTGGAATATAACTGATTAAATATTGATTAAACACACACACTAAACATTTCATAACAATGACAATAACTTAACACAATGGCATTGTCCCAGATTTTTTTATTGACACAGAGGTCGCAAGTGAATCCCACCCCAGTTCAATTTGAGCATAGCTCGTGAGCCGACCTCCGACAGTGCTGGCACCGTATCTAGTCCCCAGCGGTAACAGAGAAGAGCTCGTTACTGAACAAGCATTCTGCATCCCCTTCTTTTAGGGTGTATGTTGTGGTTTTGGATACTGGAACAACCCTTTTTCAGTGGCACCACAGCTTTCTTCAATGTCACAGCTTTCTTCAGTGTCACAGGTTTCTTCAGTGTCACAGCTTTCTTCAGTGTTTATTCAGTGACACAGCTTTCTTCAGTGTTACGGCTTTCTTCAGTGTCACGGCTTTCTTCAGTGTCACGGCTTTATTCAGTGTCACGGCTTTCTTCAGTGTCACGGCTATCTTCCTTCTCTCTTAGTTTTTTTGACTTGTCCTCCAGGAACCTCTAGTGGGATAAGGCCGTCAGGACTGTAGCCGACTCAGGCTTTCTTTTCCTAGGCCTCGCCTCCTGTATCCTTGGCCTGTGGGACAACTCCAATATGACCTCTGCTGCTGTTTGTTGTTGTAGAACTGGTACTTTTAACAAAAACAAACAAACAACAAGAACTCATGATTATTGGTTCAATTAACAATTATTTCTAATCACTCTATATGCTTCTATGTACAGTATTTCTTAAAATAAGTGCTGATGTTTTTTCTTACCAACATTCGGAGCAAGGTCACTGGAGACCTGTGGGTGCTGGGTAGGCTGTGGGGTGGAGGTTGTGGCAGAGGTTGATGTTGTGGCAGAGGTTGTGGCGGAGGGTGTGGCAGGGTAGAGGTCATGGTGGGGGTGAAGTCAACAGCTCAAGCCAGTCTGGTTGCTTGTGGGATACGGATGGATAATTCTGGGTGCTGCTTCATAAAACCGTAAAACCAGGCTATGCCTGTCAACCGCCTTTATTTATTGAATGTGTTTTGGATTCCCATCCTCTCCACCAGGTCAAAGACAAGTTTTCAGATATCCCATGATGTACAGTCGTGGTCAAAAGTGTCACACCCTGGCTCTGGGACTCTATATGTTGAGCCAGGGTGTGTTCATTCTGTGGTGTTCATTCTAGTTTGTTGTATTCTATGTTTGCCTGAGTGACTCCCAATCAGAGGCAATGAGTGTCAGCTGTTGGCTGGTTGTCTCTGATTGGGAGCCATATTTAAACTGTCTGTTTTCCCTTTGTGTTTGTGGGTTTTTGTTCCGTGTTCGGTCATTGATACCGTTGGACGTCACGAGTCGTTTCTTGTTTTGTGTTTTAAACTTTAACTAATTAAAGTATGTTTGTTCATCACGCTGCGCCTTGGTCTCTCCCTGACGATCGTGACAGAAAAACCCACCTCGACTGGATCAAGCAGCGTGACGAGGAGAGAGGATGGACTTGGGAGGAGATGAGTGCGAGTCTGGCAAGAGGGATGGAGGCCTTGGCCACGGGTAGGAGTGAAACCCATACATTTTTTAGGGGGGGGCTAACGCCGTGGACGACGGGGCAGCAGGAGGCCGCCAAGTTACGGGAGTCACTGGTCACCAGGGGGAAGGAGGATGTAGAGGCACGGCGAGAGATACTGGCGTGTGTTGCCAGTCTGGTCCGGCCTGTTCCTGATCCCCACGTAGGGCCAGTGGTGTGTGTTCCCAGTACGGTCCGGCCTGTTCCTGCCACTCGCACCAAGTCAGTGGTGCGCTTCGTCAGCCCGGCACGGCCCGTTCCTGCTCCCCGCACCAAGTCAGTGGTGCGCTTCGTCAGCCCGGCACGGCCCGTTCCTGCTCCCCGCACCAAGTCAGTGGTGCGCGTCGTCAGCCCGGTCCGGCCCATTCCTGCTCCCCGCACCAAGTCAGTGGTGCGTTTCGTCAGCCCAGCTCGGCCCGTTCCTGCTCCCCGCACCAAGTCAGTGGTGCGCTTCGTCAGCCCGGTCCGGCCCGTTCCTGCTCCCCGCACCAAGTCAGTGGTGCGCTTCGTCAGCCCGGTCCGGCCCGCTCCTGCTCCCCGCACCAAGTCAGTGGTGCGCTTCGTCAGCCCGGTCCGGCCCGCTCCTGCTCCCCGCACCAAGTCAGTGGTGCGTTTCGTCAGCCCGGCGCGGCCCGCTCCTGCTCCCCACACCAAGCCAGTGGTGTGCGTCGTCAGTCCGGCACGGGCCGTGCCTGTTCCACCGGTGGCTGGTCCGGCACCGGTCAGATACTTCGCGCCGGAGCTAGAGCAATCCGCTCCACCAGTGTCAAGTTCAGCTCCAGCCAGCGGGGCCAGACTGGACCAGGGGCGCTATGGGGGGTTGATTGGAGGGTGGTGGTCAAGGCCGGAGCCAGAACCGCCGCTGAGGAGGTATGCCCGCCCAGCCCTCCCCTGTTTTGTTTTAGTTGAGGCGCGGTCGCAGTCCGCGCCTTTAGGGGGGGGTACTGTCACACCCTGGCTCTGGGACTCTATGCCTGTCAACCGCCTTTATTTATTGAATGTGTTTTGGATTCCCATCCTCTCCACCAGGTCAAAGACAAGTTTTCAGATATCCCATGATGTACAGTCGTGGTCAAAAGTGTCACACCCTGGCTCTGGGACTCTATATGTTGAGCCAGGGTGTGTTCATTCTGTGGTGTTCATTCTAGTTTGTTGTATTCTATGTTTGCCTGAGTGACTCCCAATCAGAGGCAACGAGTGTCAGCTGTTGGCTGGTTGTCTCTGATTGGGAGCCATATTTAAACTGTCTGTTTTCCCTTTGTGTTTGTGGGTTTTTGTTCCGTGTTCGGTCATTGATACCGTTGGACGTCACGAGTCGTTTCTTGTTTTGTGTTTTAAACTTTAACTAATTAAAGTATGTTTGT